GAGCCTGGGGGCAAAAGGGCAACTACGCCGAGTGCGTTGGTGCCAGTGCTCCGGTATACTGGGCCGCCGTCATGGAATGCCCAGCTGCTGCAGTTCTCAGTCGGTCGTATTCACCGTCTGCTCCGCAAGGGCAACTACGCCGAGCGCGTTGGAAAAAAAGCCCTTTTCAGGGTAACAACATTATCAAGAAAGAGTTTAACGATTAATTTTCTAATGCCTTTCCGGCACTTGAATATCGAAAGTTGAATCTTCGCAGAGCCATAGATTCCATTTTCAATACGGCGCTTGTCAATAGCCCCTCTTAAATAAAATAAAAATTAAAGGGTTAGACCCGACCCGATTAATTTTCAGGGCCACCAAACTTTCGCAAAAGAGTTATTAAGGAATATTCCTAAAATATAATATACACAATTAAGTACAACACATAACAAACGTTATCCAACGCCAACCCTGCGGTCGTATCTAGTATACAACCCTTCCAAGTTTTGTTTTCTTTATTAGAGAGATTTTCAGCCTTTGCGGCTCTGAAAAAGGCCGATGGTAGTACAGGCTTAAAGCTTTGGCAAGATGATGATGACGTGTAGGCAGCTGGATCAGCAAATCTGACCGGACACTCCCATATTCTTCGGTTCAATGATTGGGCACTCCCAAGAGTATCGGCCCGTCTGCTGCTGGACGGGGGTTGAACTGGTGTCTGCGACAGGATGGAAGGCTGCAGAATATCAGTGTCCACTAGACTGATGCAAAATTTGACTTTTTCGCTCCACAGTGCTTAAATGGTTTCAAATCGGGTCCTGATTAGCCTCCTAAAGTTACAACTCATTTGGTTAGAAGCAGACTTCGCACAAGCCATTTGAAGTTTACATCTAAATTACTATAGGAAATCTCAACTTCTGGTTAATTTCCTTCTAGTCTTTTTCCATATTGAGCTGCGAAACAGTTCGATAGCCATTCTTATAGAAAATTTTCTCAGCTACAACAGTGCTGAAGATCCTTTCTATGTAAAACGAGACAGGAAAAAGTTATTAATTATTTAAGAGATTGGTAAACTTATGACATGATCAAGCAGCTGCTCTATAGGCAACACTGTATTTTGCAGTGTGACATAGTAGCCATGATTTTTGTGCCCTATTCAACACCCCAGAAACACCAATGTTGCCTGCTGAGCAGTTGATTGAGCATGATCATAAGACATCAGTGCATTGAACCATTGATAACTTTCGATCCTTGCATTCAATCAAAAAATGGTCTTTAGCAAAATTGTAGCTGGGAAAATTTCCTACAAGTAAAGTTGAAAGTTTTTGAAGCAGACCGATATGGTGAATTATCAGATAGACATGAACTAAAATCTTAGTTTTACCATAGTAATTCCCATACAAACTTCAAATGGTTTGTGCCATCTCAGTTTCTCACAAAATGGGTTTAAATTTTGGAATCGTTTAAGTATTGTGGAGTGAAAATTTCAAATTTTGCATCACCCTAGTGTCCACCCAGCTAATGCTCCTCCCCTTTTTAGTTTTTCTCGTCAAACTCCTTCTCTCAACAAGTTGGTAAATCTTAGCCTTTAGCAGAAAGACGCTTAACACTTTTTCTGCGAATGTATGATCCTGTTCTACGTCATGGTTCTTCTCTATGCCTGTTCAGATGAATTAGTACTTTTATTTATTTTACTGCGCTAAATCAAACGAGAAGAAACAAAAAGGGATATCGGTTACGTGCTAGAATAATTGAAAATTCGATCAATATCTTGGAAAAATCTTGGAATTTTAGGCATCCCTAGAAAATAGATAATAATTGAACTTTCAGGCATCTCTAGAAAATAGTATAATATCATTTTTTTGGTGGTCTTTCGATAATGTTGAACAGCAGAATTGCTACCAGCAAGTGTAACCCAAGAACCAAAAGCGGTGCGATGCTTGTTTTCATTGCTATGACAACGATTGCATTAAGGGGCTTAGAAGCAGAGTGGTGAAAGTCAATTCTCTTCATCGATTTCCTCTTTTGATGAACATGGCTTCACTTACCTATTTCGCACTATATCTGATATGCTCTTCAATCATCCAGAACCACAAACGTATCAATGAATGTGTTTTCCGTCGAGTTATTAACGAAACTGAAAGTCTATGAAGAGAATCGATCAAAATCACTTGCACCCCTGCTTCCAAGTTTGGTTACAAGATTACAACTCTGGAGAGCATTTTGTGCATTTGTTCTGAACATGGCGATGAGCGTGCAAAATGCTACGCAATTGCATCCTCCATATTTGCACACGCCCGAAGATCGGAGGCAAATGCCCCTTTGACTTGTTTCGTCTACTAACGATTCTCTGATGACTGTGTTGGGGAAGCAGCATATTCATGTACGTAATTGATGGATTTGTTTTATATTTCGACGCTTTTGGACAATGCTTAACATTTACCACTTTTTAAATAGTTTCTTGTTGAAAATCAACAGTTGTAAACATTGCGATGCGTAGAAATATTTCTGTTCGATTGATGATAAATTTATTGCCATTGGTCCAGGGGCAGCTGAGCTATTAACGTTCAAAATCTTGCATAATTTCGTTACACAATCCATTTTTGGTTTTCAAAAAGTGAGCCCTTATTTATAAATCACAGACGTAGTCCTACATCAAAACTCTTCCAAGTTATCTTGAAACGCCTCTCAGAATGGCCTTGAAAGTCGCCTTTAAATTTGCCAAGAAATTATTCATAGAATTCCCTAGGAATATTCCTCAGAATTGTCATTTCGTGAAAATCTTCCAACTTATCCCGAATGTAGCAGAAGTTTCTACCGGAAATAATTGTTTTAGCTAAAACGAGTATAAATATGCAACTTTTCATAAAGATAGATCGTTATGATGGGGAGAAATATATAGATAACGAACATCGAAAGAGTGAGCTGACTGAATTATGACGCTGTCAAACATAATTTGACTGATTGTCGAATTGAAACGAACAATATTTTCGTTAATGATGCTTCCGAAGGTATAATTTTCCGTCGGCAATGTTTCGCACTTCAATGTTCTCGGAGTTTACACGAAATCATAAACGGGAAGTGCATAAAGGTCAGTTGTTTCGTCCCCCCCCAGCCAACTGCAAGAGAACAACAGCAAAAAGTTTCCCGTAAGTCAATAAGCGTTAGCAACTGCGTGTGAGGGAAACAAAAGATGAAAACTTTGACATTGGCTTTCCCGGTTGGTGAAAAACTTGAAGCCTGCCGCGGTCGGTAATTGAAGTGTTCATATGTACGTGAAGCTTGTGCGTAAATAAAACACCCATTAATTATAATAATTATCACATTCGTGCGAGACGCACATTTTTCATAAATTAATTATGATCCATGAATATTAATGGGTAATAGCAATCGGATTCCGGATTGTTTTGCGTTTCGGGAGCTTAACCCCCTTCAGCCGTTTAGTTTGAGTTCACTGTGTTCGTTTGTGGGAAGATCTCCATGAAAATCAACTGCAATCCATCTACAATGGTTGAGAAATCGGCTACGATAGCCTTCTTCAACCAAACTTGGATCTGGGCACTAATTACCCAAACTTTGTCCCATTAGGCTAAGTACTCCCGGTGATAGATAATCTAGTTTGGCAGCTTGGCGCTGAAGCTATCTTCCCCTCGGCCGAATGGGTTGTTTCTTTTTATGCAAATTCTCACAACAATCATCATTTTTCTACGATTTTTTCTCCACGACGCTGTTGTTGTTTTGCTTTCTGCACCGACAAACGGAGCGCGAACGAGCGGGGCTACCCCATTAGTGAGCTAGACATTGATAAATTATTCCTTCAGGACTTGGCACTGAGCTTCTGCTACTGCCGCTAGGAGAGAACTGCTCCCGTTCATTACTAAAAAGATTATTTTTCATTTTGCCTCGGTCGAGCTTGCGGCTCGCGAGGAAAAGACAGCACCCAATGATTGAACTTTTCCCATCATCATTCTTGCTTGCTTCGCGCATCCACGTTCTTCTGCATGAACCATGATGCGACGACCATCACTGATTTATAATTAACACGAAACGAAACTTACTCCATATCGCATAATTAATCTCTTAGATGTTGTTTTCGGTATCACTCGTAGCCGCCATGGCCTTGCGGAACCCAAGTGTTGGTAAGCTGGCTGAGACTTTCTGGTCAATTGGAAGGAAAATTGCACTGAAAAGGATTCTAGACTTGCATTGACAATGAGTTCCGAAAAAACCGCTCAAGTTTTGGCTGTTTGTTTTCCCATAACGGCATCATGTACATCAAACAGAAATCTCTGCCGCAATGTTTTTCTCTAAGCCCATATTATCAACAACAAAAAACTACAGTCACTCATAGCTCGACTGAGTAAAATTTATCTCAAATATGAACGATTGAAATCTGTGAATCTATGTGACTGAGGTTTTTGCGAATTTGAGTAAACGGAACACAAATTTGAACGAGTTTCAACGGCCGTGTAACGCTCATTTAAGTTCACCCCCCCCCCCCCCCCCCCCCAACGGAATGATGGTGAAAGCGAGCAGAACGCCAATTAAAAATCAGCATGAATAGTTGTGAAAAACGAAATTGCGCGGAAAACCTGCTCCATTCATCCTGTATGCAACTTGTCTCGCACAATTTCCCTTGTGAATTGCTTTCCGCCACCATCGCCACAGATTACATCCGTTTTCGTCCGGCGAAACTCCTCATAGCCATTCCGTTCATTATGGATGTTGGTCACACAATTCCGGGCTCCTCCTCGGTGCTTCAGGAAAAAGGGGAAATAAGCGAGCTCAAGTGGATGCTCCCAGAGAGAGTATCCACTTCATTTGCGTTCGCTTTGATTTGTTTTCTGCTTCCGATTAACCTACTTTCAACCCGCTGAATACCTACCTAGCTTGCTCGTCGAATTGAAAATCTTTGAACACAATCAGCCCCTCTCGTCCACCTTTTCGAATCACCCCACCGCTCTCGTGTTCAATTTGGAAGGTATTGATTGTTTTTCCGTTTTTTTTTTGTCGTTGTTCCACAGGTGAAGCAGCCAGCCAGATACTGAACAAAGCGGAGCCCCTCTTCATCACCCGATCGGAAGCGTTCAAGTTTGCCGTTGGCGACACCATTGCCCTGCCCTGTGAAGTTTCCTCGCCTGGTGAGTATGACGAACGATGCCGTTCCGGGCCAAAGGTTGAGAATGATTGCCGGCGAAGTGTTTTGATGTTTGTGTGTGGTGGACTGAGTCAGGATCGAAATGTCACGGATATTTTCGGATTTGTGACCTTCTCATGACGGGTTCCAAACTCTGCATTAGCTGACGGGATGACATTTTAAAAGAATCTTAATAAAGCTTGTACTCGAAAAAAAAAATGCACCATTTTTATCCGTGTGTAACTTTTTTATCCGTGGGTAAAAATTGATGAAAATCTGGGTATAACTAGTTTGGAGTGAGTTGTTTACATGTGAAAAATTTCATAATAATCGGTTCAGTGGTTTTTTTTTTTTTTTTTAATGTGTTTATTTTTCCAGGCTCATTTGCCGTAGCTTTGCGGAGCCGATATTCATTGTTTAGGTTACAAAATTTCTTAAGACTAACGTTAGTAAAGCGGGGCCGATTACTCGCGGCTATCTCGAGGTTAGGGGTAACAAATTGTAACAAATGGATGGCAGGGTAGGGATTGAGAACACAAGGTTTGGAGAGCAATGTGCTCTTGATCTCGAACTAAGTGACCAACTGATGAAAAAGACAAACATGGGGGTACACCGATGGGCAGCTAACAACTTGGGGGAACACAAGATGACACTAACTACTAAATCCTCAGATCTATCCGTTTTAAAAACACATATATTAAATTGCAATAGTCGAGATCTCGGCTCGCCAAGATGTCTCTAACGGGCCGCATGGGTTGTTTTCCTCGGGCCCTGAGGGATGCGGATAACTCGGATCTAGCAACACAATGGAGGGTGCATGACCAAAGTACGTGGTCGATATCGTGATAGCCACTACCACAAGCGCACAAATTGCTGCCTGCGAGCCCGATTCGGAAGAAATGCGAGTCTAACGAGTAGTGATTGGACATGAGCCTTGATATGACACGCATAAAGTCACGGCTCATGTCCAATCCTTTGAACCATGGCTTGTTCGATACCTGTGGGAGAATAGAATGTAACCATCTTCCCAGATCACTCTCATTCCATTTTTGTTGCCAGTTGGTGAGGACGTGCTGACGGGTAATTGGGAAAAATTCCGCAAAGGCGATTTGTCGATCAAAAATATCGCCTTCCATAGCGCCCACCTTAGCTAGCGAGTCCGCTTTCTCATTGCCCGGAATTGAGCAATGAGATGGGACCCAAACTAAGGTGATAGTATAGGAGCAGTTAGATAAAGTACTCAATTTAGCTCGGATTTCGGTCAGGAAATACGAGGAGTGCTTCATCGGCCTCATTGATCGAATAGCCTCCAACGAGCTAAGGCTATCAGTAAAAATAAAATAGTGATCAGATGGTAGTGAGGCAATTTGCTCTACTGCGTAAAATATGGCTGCTAGTTCCGCAACGTATACGGAACAGGGTTTTTGCAGTTGATATGAGGCGCTATGAAATTCGTTGAATACTCCAAATCCAGTGGAAGCGTTTATAGTTGACCCATCTGTGAAAAAACTCTTATTGTTACTAACATGGTGGTACTTGTTTGCAAAAATTAAGGGAACAACCATGGACCGATGGTGATCTGCTATTCCACGGATTTCTTGCAACATGGTCAGATCAAAATTTACAGAGGAACTATAAAAGTCTTGGAGGCAATCACGAGAGGAATTGATTGAAGAAGGGCCAATCTCCAGCGTCATGTACTCGTAATAGAGACTCATGAATCTTGTTTGAGGATTTCTGTCGAGCAGCTTCTCAAAATTTTCTATTACCAATGGGTTCATTACTTCACAACGGATAAGAAACCGGAAGGACAGTTCCGCGAAACGATCTGTCAGTGGGAGAACACCCGCAAGTACTTCGAGGCTCATCGTATGCGTCGAGTGCATACAGCCAAGTGCGATTCGGAGGCAACGGTATTGAACCCGTTGCAGCTTCAGGATATGTGTTTTCGCCGCGGATTGAAAACAGAAGCTACCGTACTCTAGAACCGACAAGATGGTTGTTCGATACAACCTGATCAGATCTTCCGGGTGTGCTCCCCACCAAGTTCCAGTAATTGTACGAAGAAAATTGATTCTTTGTTGGCATTTTTGTTTCACATACGCAATATGTTTTCCCCACGTGCTTTTGGAATCGAACCAGACACCTAAATACTTGAAAGATATACTTTGAGTGATTGTTCTACCCTTTAGTTGAAGCTGTAACTGTGCAGGATGATGCTTCCTAGAAAAAACAACCAACTCAGTTTTCTCCGGAGAGAATTCGATACCCAGCTTCATAGCCCAAGTAGACAAATTGTCTAAGGTATCTTGCAATGGTCCTTGCAGGTCCGGTGCACTTGGCCCTATAACGGATACAACGCCGTCATCTGCAAGCTGCCTTAGCGAGCAATTTTCATCAAGACAACCATCAATGTCTTTTACATAAAAATTATAAAGAAGGGGGCTTAAACATGAACCCTGGGGGAGACCCATGTAACTAATTCGTGAAGTTGTCGAGTTTCCATGAGAAAAGCTCATATATTTCTCAGACAACAAGTTGCTCAAATAGTTGTTCATAATTGGTGAAAGCCCACTATCGTGGAGTTTATCCGAAAGGACATCGATACAAACAGAATCAAAAGCCCCCTTAATGTCCAAGAAAACTGAACCCATTTGCTGTTTTTGCGCATAGGCCAGTTGAATTTCAGTTGAAAGCAACGCAAGACAGTCGCTCGTTCCTTTGCCTCTCCGAAATCCAAATTGCGTATCTGAAAGTAAACCATTCGACTCGACCCATTTGTCTAGACGAAAAAGAATCATTTTCTCCAACAATTTCCGTATACAGGACAGCATCGCGATGGGACGGTACGAGTTATAATCCGACGCGGGTTTACCGGGTTTTCGAATGGCGATAACTCTTACTTGTCTCCAGTCATCCGGAACAATGTTGTGCTCCAGAAATTGATTGAATAAGTTCAACAAGCGTCTCTTCGCGACATCTGGGAGATTTTTAAGCAAGTTGAACTTGATTCTATCCATTCCTGGAGTTGAATTGTTACATGAAAGGAGAGCAAGTGAGAATTCCACCATCGAAAACGGGGAATCTATTTCGTTATTACCCGACGGACGATCACGAACGTTGGTTTGAACCGACACCGAATCCGGGCAAACTTTCCGCGCGAAGCTGAAAATCCATCTGTCCGAGTACTCCTTGTCTTCGTTAATCGGTGTAGACGCGTTTCGCATTCTCCTGCCGACATTCCAGAGTGTTCTCATGGAAGTCTCTCGCGACAAACCATCGACGAACCGACGCCAGTATCCGCGTTTTTTTGCTTTAATTAAGTCCTTAAAAGTTTTCTCGAGGTCGGTGTACCGCTCGAAATCCCCGACCTTGCCGTGTTTGCGGAAGCGTTTAAACGCGGCGGACTTCTCGCTGTTCGCGTCGGTGCAATCCTTATCCCACCACGGGGTGGGAGGTCGCTTGCGGACGGAAACACCCGGAACACGTTTCGTCTGTGCTTGCAGCGCAGAATCGATGATGACACGCGCGAGAAAGGAGTACTCGTCCAGCGGAGGAAGTACATCAACCGATTGACTGGCATCAAGAACCGCGGTCGCGAATTTTCGCCAGTCAATGTTTTTCGTAAGATCGTACGCGATGTCGACCGAGCGAGTAGAAGATGAACCATTGGTAATAGAAATTTTGATTGGCAAATGGTCACTACCGTAGGGATCTTGAATTACTTTCCACGAGCAATCCAACGATAGTGAACTCGAGCAAAGTGAGAGGTCTAATCTGCTTATTTTTGCTGGAGGTTTGGCTACTCGTGTTGCTTCCCCGGTGTTTAGAATTGTCATTTTGAAGAAGTCGCACATGTCGTATATCAAGGTTGAGCGGTTGTCGTCGTACAGTTCCCCCCAGCCTGTACCGTGAGAGTTAAAATCTCCCAAGATCAACCGAGGCTCTGGCATAGCCGTGCAGATATCCGAGAAACTTTGACGAGAAATCGCAGTTCGCGGTGGAAGATATACTGAGGCAATACTGAGGCATTTACCTCGAATATTAACCTGACATGCAACAACTTCAATGCCTGTCACCGAAGGCAGATCGATTCTGTAGAAGGAATGGAGCTTGTTGATCCCCAGAAGCACCCCTCCATACGAATCTGCCCGATCAAGGCGAATAATGTTGAAATCGTGGAAAGCAAGATCGTTGTCTGAAGAGAGCCATGTTTCACAAAGGGCAAATGCATCAGAAAGTAAATTGTTAACTAAAAATTTAAATGTGTCAAGTTTTGGCATAAGACTTCTACAGTTCCACTGAAGAACAGAGATCATATCCCCGACCTCATTCGGAGAATTATCCATCAAAGGATATGATCGATGCAAGGAAGGACCACCTAGAAGCTAGTTGCTTCAAAAGAGTTTTCACCATTGGGAGCACTAAATTAATAATGCTCCTCGTTGAGTCAGAGACATTGAATATACTGAAGAAGCTATCCACAATACCAGAAAACGTGAACATGGGGGCATGTTCTTGCTGATTATTCAGCTGCTTTTCTGGCCGAAAAACTGGGACATCTGGGGTTTTAGATGATCCTGGAAGTGACGGAAAGTTCTTGTCATAATTACAAGGTTGAAAACCCGGTGGAATGGGCTTCGGTGCATTTCCGTTACCTCTTGATTTTTCCAAGGTGGAAGGGTGGTCCGGACGAGTGGCCTTACGAGGCTTTTCGGTGTTGTGTTGTTTTGCTCGTTTTCTCGTATTGCCTTTAAAGACAAACGGACTACCCTCACCGACCTCTGAGTCAGAGTCTAGATCATCAACTGGCAAAATGGAGAACGTGTTACTGCTTTTTGGTGTGGTCTGAGAAGATGAAGCGGTATTCTTCAAGAGTTCTGCTAGTGTTCTCTTGGAGCGAGCTTGCAGAGACCGCTTAAGTTTTTCTCCCTGCTGTTTATACCTCGGGCAGTTAGTCAGGGTATGCAGGCTCTCCTTGCAGTACACACATTTTGGTGGAGC